CGACGCAACAAACTTCGAGGATGAAGTCTAAGACAAGTTGGGGAGAATTGTAATGCTTGGTTCCTGGTATGAATTTAAAAAATAACTCATTCATTCTTATTAAGCAACTCGACGAGTTGGTAGCCCCAAACTCGTCGAGTTGAGATTAGAAGGGATGCAGGATTTTAAGCAACCTACTCGATGAGTTAAGAGCCCCTAACTCGAAGAGTAGGGCTATCAGGATGAAAACCTAATTTTGGGATTTTGCACCCTATTTAAGCATCTTAATTCCTACTTGTAGGCTTCATTTCCAGCCTCCAAGTCCCAAACCCTAGATTCAGAAACCCTAATACAATTGGGAGCTTGTAAGCCTTTTGTGAGTGAAACTTTTTGTGTTTTGAAGCTTGTGAAGGAAGGAGTAGCTTGGGGATTCAAGAAGAAGATAGAAGATCCAGAGACTTCATTTCTTCCTCATCATTTTCTCGTAAGCAAGTCTCAAACTTGCCTAGTAGCTTCTTAGATCTCTTTATCATCATTTTATGGGGTTTGTGGTCCAAGAATCTTGAACTTTGGTACATGGACATCCTAAGTGAGTATACCATCAGATCTGGAATCATGGAGGGTTTTCATGGCTTAAAGGTGCAAACTTTATGACCATTGAAGCCCCATGCAATCCATAGGATGTCGTTTTGGCCTTTTAAGCTCCAAAAGGCCATGCATGGAGTGAAATGTGGAAGCTTTATGCGTTCATGTTGTATTTAGGGTCTAGATCTCTGTTCGTTTGCGTTAGTTTGGTGTATGGATGGCTTGTGGACCAAGATCTAGGTCCTAAAGGGTTAGGGTTTGAGCTAAACCCATGAATTTGAGGTATTAACGGGTAAACTTGGAAACTTTACCCTTAAAAGGACATTTTCAGTGGATATGATAAATAAGAAGCTTAGATATGAAGAGTAGGGGCTTAATCCACTTAGAAGGCCCAAACAGACTGAGGTGCTCATCGAGTCCATATACGAACTCGATGAGTTGAGTCGATTTGTACCGATTTTGTACCAGGTAGAACTCGACGATTCTAAGGAGGGACTCGACAAGTTGACTTGCTTTATCACGACTACAAGTAGCAATGGAACTCGGCAAGTCAGGGGGATGACTCGACGAGTTGGATCACAATTTCAGGATTCATGATTTATAGAACTCGACGAGTTGAGTCATCCCAGAACGTTGACTTTGACCAGAATGTTGACTTTACCAGGGGTAAAGTAGTCATTTTACCCTAAGAAAGATTTTGGACGTTGATGAAGTGTTATTGTGATGTTGTAAGCTGGGGAGTCACGGAAGCAGCCGATAGATATTTCCTTACTAAGATATTTAGCAGCCAGCTTGTGAGGTGAGCTTTCCTCAAGTAGAAACGGGTCGAAGGCACCAATGTCGGTCTGTTTATGTTTGTTAGCATATGTCAAACTTAGGTCCGCTGTCGGGATTAGCCCGATTAGATTATATGTTTCCAGACTTTGGTCTGATGTTGGGGCAATCCCAAGGAATATTTGTATGCTTGATCGCTTTGTGATTCTAATATGTGTATGTTTATATGTTCCGGGATTTGGTGCGATGCTGTGGCAAGCCTGAGGAATGTTTAGCTTATATGTTATGTATTATATGTTTCGAACTTCAGTCTGATGTCGGGACAAGCCGAAGGAATGCTTATATATATGTTATACGCTTTTTGATATGTTATATGTATACCAGACTTCAGTCCGATAACGGGTAGGGCGATGCCGGACATCAATCTAATGTCGGGCGGGGCACGATGCTAGATTCATCGGATGACGGGAGGGGTCCGATGTAGTGCTCAAGGCAAAATGTATGCTATTATGTGATTATGTGTATGGTAAGTGGTAGTTTGGGGAGACTCACTAAGCTTCGTGGTTATAGTTTTCAGTTTTGGTTTCAGGTACTTCCGGTAGCAAGGGGAAGAGCTCGGGATAACTTCATGACACATAGCACAACTTTTAGCATGGGTTGATTTACTTTGATGTTTTGACATATGATTTTGATATATTGGCAGTTGTTTATAACATTAATGAAATACACGGTTTATAATTTTTATATGATGAATGATACTTATGGTTTTTATTGATGATTTAAAACGGAATTTTTGGGCTGTATTTTTGGGATGTTTCACCTTTTTGGGCATGTTTCGAAATATAGATTTTGTTGAGTTATTATGAATGGATTATTTTTGGTACTCGCTTCATACAGGGTTGGTAGTGTTGCTTATCAAAGGAATTAGTTGGCATGTATGTCAGGAAGGAGATCGTTAGTCTTAGAATGTTAGTTCAAACGTTTCAGACAGACAAATCCTTGGTTTTGAGTGATAATGTAAGGATTTTTATTGGATTGGTAGTGATGGGAGGCATAGTAGTTCGATTTGATTAAGTGCACATGGTTAGATTAGAAATAGTAGCGTCAAAAGGGTTCTAAATGGACTTGGGAACCCTAGGAGGAGATGTGTGAGCACTACTCCAAGTGTTTACCATAATAGATTTTGAGGATGAAATCTAATTCAAGTGGAAGAGACTTTAGACACCTAAGTACCGATTCTCGATATATATCTCATTTTAAAATTATAAAGTATTAGAAATAACCTAAAGAATGATGCAACTTAGGTTGATTGTCGAGTGTTGGATTAATGAAGGAGTGGAGTACTTTTTGATGTGCGTGATGCGCTCTTGGTGATCAGTGAAACTCTTATTCTTGGCCATTGCGCCCTATTTAAAGGTACTAACTCATACGTTTTTCATCATTCTCAACCTCCACCATCTATAAGAAAACCATAGCCTATTGTGCCCCTTATAAGTGCTCTTGAGTGTGTTGAAGATTCTTGAGCCTTAGGTATGATTCTTGAAGACTGTGTGTGAAATGTTTGGTTCAAAGGGGTATCTCCCAAAGTATATTCATCCTCTCTACAGGCCATTAGAATGTATAAACATTCCACATTTATGGTTATTTAGTTTATAAATCTTGTTTTAAGTCCCTTTTGGTCCTTTGGATGGGTTTTCTTGGAGTTTTGGGCCATAAGAAACTTCTGTATGCATGTGCTTCCTTTGACCCATGCACAAGTTCTTGGTCATTTTGGGCAAGTTTTTATTTATGGTTTAAGTTTTTTCTTGTCTAAACCTTGGTTATGGATAAATTTAGAAACTGTATCCATTAAGACACTAAGGAGTTTCTTATCTAAGATTTGGAGCTTTTGAATTTAGTACGTGACTTATGAAGGATTTCATGACTATTTTGTCAGGTAGTGGGCGTAGTGCACCTGGTCTCAGTCACAATACTGCTAACTTTCATCATTTACTTTTTTACAAACTTTCACTCTTGATCACACTTAGAGGGATTAAGTGGTTCGTAAGATGAATTTCCGTCAATGGATGCGTATATTTGTGATTCCTAAGCTATCCGCACAGGCGATTTACCACACTATTTTATATTTTATCATTTATATCATTTGCATAATAGGATGTACGTGTATTGTTGTATGTTGGTTATATAAGTGGTCTAGCATATTCTTTTGCATATCGATTATTTAATTATATAATATGTTGATATGTTATGTCGATGGGTTGATGGTAGATTGACACTAGATTCGAGAGCCATTATACCTAATGTTGATGACTAGATGTCATAGGAGCTATTGGTCGCCAGGTGGATCGGCACTGGAGCCGAGAGACTTTGTTTGTATGGTGGATCGTGTTGGAAAAAGTTTCCATTCTCATTAACTATTTTGGTAATATTTCTAATAATAACAAGGTCCTTTGGGGATGGTCTCATGATCCAAATAACATTTAAAAAATGGAGATAAATAAGTTATTAATTTATTAAGTAATTAATAAATTAACTGCAAATTATTTTTTGAATTAATTAAACTATTATAATTAATTAAAGATCTTGAATATTAATTAATCCAAAAGAGTAATTAGAATATTGCAGAAGCTCCAAGAGAGCTATGATCCCTTAAGATAATGTATTGATGCTAACAAAACTGTTAGAATAAACTTAATAGTAGATCGATAGATTGTAGAACAAGAATAAAAATCAAACACAAGAATAAAGATCAAAGTAGTGTTGAATGATTGAAAGCACTACTTTAGAAGATCTCGATTAAGAACTGCTACTGTAAAAGGCAATATAGGGTTTACAATTTGAACAACTCTAGACATGGTGCATGCATGCACTTTAAATAGTAAAGCCCTAACAATAAAGAACTGGGTTAGACAGACCCAACCCATTACATAAAATGAACTATACAAAATAAATACAACTGATGCAATCCATTAAACCCAACAATCTCCCCCTTTGTGTCAATTGAGGCAGGAGACTCTTCATGGTTGTGTTCATTTCTACGTCTTGAAGAGATTGAGCATGATACTGAGGAGAGTACTACAAATTTCTATATACCACCTGAGCATATTTGAATAGCACTTCTTCACAGCATCATCATTCGCTTCGCAATTACCTGTGATTTCCAAAATATAGTTCAAGCAAGTGGTGGAAAACTAGCGTTTATCAGGCAAAGACAAGAGACATTTCTGGATGTCTCCTCTTTTTTTATCCCAGATGAAACAATACGCTATAGTTTTCCTTTTCAATTCGCCCCATCTTCATCTTCTCGATGTCTTTCGCAGAAGCTTCGGGAAGGACTATTGGTTTTTTTCGCAACACAGAGGCGATTTCAACGTTCGTCTTCGCTACTTCATGGATGTACGAAACCAACATACTCTTGATATGATCAACAATTGGTTCATACTTCTTTTCTTCCTTCATCAAGAGGTGCAACAACATAATCCAGTCGTAGGGATTTAAACATGGCAGGTCTACCGTAGAGAATTCGAACATAGAATTCGTAGAACCTCGAGTTGTTTTAAATTTGACATTGAAAAAACTTGAGTTTCTATTGGCCCAATAACCTTGAAAGCAGTTATTTTTTGTGAACTCTAGGTCTTGTGTTGTGGCTTTACATGCTTCATTTAAAATGTCATTACAGACTTGTTCACACTCTCATCTAAACCAGAAGTGTTCAAATTCACTTTAAAGCTGCGAAACAAAAACACTTTTGTAGTGATAGGGAAATCCAGTTGCGAATCCAGTGTGTTCTCCAAGTCAAACAAAGTGACTAGCTCTAAGCATTGAATGCTTGGGTTGTCAATTGCTTCTGTCAAAATCCTTTCCATGGACCAAGGAGGAAATAACAACTTTTTAGATTTTAGGGTTATTTGAGTATCACGAAGCGCTTTCTCTTTTTCTTTTGCTTCTCTTGCGATTCGCAGATTTTCATCAAGAATTGCATCACGTGCTTTGCATTTGAGTTTTATGTTTTCATACTCTTCCTCCTCTTCACCATCATCTATTACCTTCTCTTTTCCTTTCGAAACCAAAGCTATATTATCCTTCGGTTCGAAATTTGACTTTGCTTTTTGAGCATCAGATCCTTCAATACTACCGACTGGTTTCGCGGTTTCTTTCGTAGATAGCTTATTAGTTTCTCCCCCTTGTTTCGGAAGTGTGCTAGACGCCAAAACACCCTCAAGCCTGTTTAGCATTGCGAACATAGGCCTAAGTTTATCAGCCAGATGCTTCCAAACAATGATTGTGATTAGAGAATCACGAGTCTCAATGATATCAAAGAGTAAGGCATTCACGTCGGCAATGAAACTCTTCATTACAACTTTTCAGACAAGAGATCTTCAATTCGCTTATTAGCATGATTGAGCTTGACAGATAAAACTTTCACCTTCTGTGTTTTGATAGCGAGCTCATCCACGGTTTTGTTTTCAAGAAGCAAATCTTCATGAAGCTTTTTTATTTTGGAAGGTTGAGGTGTGAGACTCTGTATTGTCAGACTGAATGCTAGTGCGAACTTTTTCAAGAGCATCCTTCTCAATCCGAAGATGGGTGTAGAGTCATGACCAAGAGTGAAACCTGAAGCACCTGGCACCGCATCAGATGTGTTGACAGAAACTGGAGGTTCACTAGTGGGTGTGGTTGTTGTTGCTATAGAATCAATAAAAAAAGAGTGGATTGCACGAGAGTAGCTTGGGGTTGCAAAATAACCATATAGACATGTGGGAAAGGAGCTATACTGATCGGAGTGGAGACAGTAGAGGTAGGTGAAGGAACTAATAAATCTTGGAAAAAATCATCTGTGATTGGAACAGAACTAGTTATTGAGAATGTTACCTCAGGATTGGTAGTGATATGCTCCAAAACCATCGGATGTGAAGTCTCTGTAGTTTCATCTATTTCATGCTGAACTGGAATATCTGAGTTGGTATTGGAATCCGAATTTCCGTGATCACTTGGTGTTGGAGTTCGTGGCTTGTGAGCAGCTCGCTTCACCTTCTTCTTTGGAGTCTGGGTAGGTTCGGAGGGTCCTTCCTTAGTTCTTTTCTTTCCGCCCTTCTTTGGTTTATCAGCCTCATCGAGAACCTTTTGTATTTCATAGGTTATTGGTCGATGACCAGAAGCCGGGAAACTATGATAGGCTTGGATAATTTCACTCGCAGCTGGTACATTGCGAAGCATAGACCTGGGAATAGATCCGATAAAGGTAAAACATGAATTATCGGACAAGATGTGGGAAGAGTGAAACACTTTTGGGCTTTAGTATACTACAACACCCTATGGTGCACATACAACCCTAAATGATTTGGATCTATGTTTTCTCTAATTATACATGCAATAATATTTCCAAAGCACTAAGCCTACAACTAGCTTACAATTGACATAAACAACTTAAAATACCAGTTATGAGTTTACCTCTTTATGTAGCTTGTAGAACATGTTGTATTTGACCTTTAAGAACTTAGCACCCTAAGTGTGATGCCTCAAACGATTGACAACTCACCTAGGACCCAACACAATATTTTACAATTAGGTAAATGATGTAATCGAATTGCAAAATATTTGAAGGTAGGTAAATGACAATTTACCAATTTCCACCATGAAAAACGAAATTGATTATTAAGGTTTATATGAATTGAAAGTCTTAGATCTTTTGAGATTCACTGAACTTTTCAATGGCATGTTTAAATCTCGATTGTGTCCTTCAAGTTAGTGACTGGGATGTCGAAGATCAAAAACAAGGTGTGAATAACAATGAAAATTAGCTTGGTACACTTAATGTTACAGATCGGCTAATCAATGTGTCGGTTAACCACACAAGGTCCATTGATATATGATTAACATCAAGCTTCCCTTTGCCATACACTGTCAGTCCCAGATTAGTATGTCAGTTAACCACACGCCCTTCACTAATGACTTAACAAGGTGCAAAGTGCAATTTCATGGGTTAGCACCAAATTCACATTTTTCCTAAGTAACTAAGATTGAGAATTTATAAGTGTTTAGTTACTTGGTATTTTCATTATACTTTTAATGAGAATTAATGTCCTATCCTACCCCTTCGGCTTACGACCCTCCACTAGTCAAAGAAGCGGTGGGTGAGATTGGATACCCATTAAACCGCCATTTTATAGGCAGTAACCTTATACCCCATTATAGATCGGCTTCGTGATTGAGTCCTATTAATGGTAAGACCAAATTTTTAGTTATACATATAATATATTAAACTTTTAATATTATAATAATATAAGGGTGTATTTTAAACTTTTAAAATACTAAGTGGTTTAATCTACTAAGTAAACTATACTCATAATTTAATTCAACTTAAACCATATCATTATGGAATTATTAATTCTCTTTTAATTAAACACTTTAATTAACTATTAATAAAGTACGTAAAGATGTAATATGAAAGATTCAAAACATCAAGATGCTAAAACAAAATTAAAACTATTTAATTTGTTATTAAGTTATGAACCCATGAGTTACACTTTTGAAAACTTTTCTAATAATGTTAGTTTTAGAATTCAATGTCTCATAAAAAAAACTTTTCAAATTTCAAAACTTGAGGGCAAGTTTTGTAATTTTTGAGAGCTTTTAGAATTCCATAAAAGATACTTTCCGAGTTCCATAACTTGAGGGCAGGTTGTGAAACTCGTCGAAGCCATTTATAAAAAATTTTGTAACCTTTGAAGACTCTTGGAATTCATAACTTAAAGAGTTAATGAGTGAGACTTTTCACATCCATAACTTATGGAAGTTTCAAAACATTTAAGATCATAACTTTTAAAAAAGACTTTTGAGTTCCAAAATTTTATGATAAAATTTGTAACTCCTTAAAAACATTTAGATCAAACTTTTAAAACAAATAAAATAATCATATCATTCTATCTTTTAATAAATTGACCTAATTCAACTCTTGTAGTAAAACGACTCAAATTTTACAAATAAATAGTTTTCCATAAAATCAAGTAATTATCTTAAAATTTGACAAACTTCATGTTTGTTTTACAACTTTGAAAATCAAACATTTGCATCAGTATAACAGAAAACAACCCATGGCTCTGGTGCCACTGTTTGGTTTTAGTATACTATAACATCCTATTGTGCACATACAACCCTAAATGCTTTGGATCTATGCTTTCTCTAATTATACATGCAATAATGTTTCCAAAGCATTAAGCCTATAACTAGCATACAATTGACATAAACAACATAATATACTAGTTATGAGTTTACCTCTTTATGTAGCTTTTAGAACTTGTATTTAGCCTTTAAGAACTTAGCACCACAAGTGTGATGCCTCAAATGGTTCAAAACACACCTAGGATAAAGGAGAACTTGAGAGAGATGTTGCTAGCTCCAAGCTCGGCTCTAATGAACTCCAAGAACTCCAGTGTTCAATTTTGGGTGCTAACGGGGTCCTTTTATAGTGTGGCAAAGTCTAGGCTTACATCCATGCAAACCCTAATGCCCATGACCTTTTATATTACTTAGGCTCCATGGGTTAAGCTTCCATGGACTATCCATGGACTACCATAGCGGTTTAGCACATCCTAAATAACAATTAGCCAACACTATAAGAATCATTGGTTTACCAAATCAATACCCATATATTTAATTAGTCTCTTTTGATCACATAATTAATTCCAAATTAATTCTTGATTAATACTAATTAAATAATATGATTTCATATTAATATATTAGAACTTATAATATATTAATAAATCATAAGTAACCTCTTACTCAACTATTCATCCTATCAAATTGTCCTGATGATATGCAACCTTAAATTGACCATGCTACTCTCGGGTCAAGTACATATCAATTATAGTTATGGGCTTAGATACCTAATCCAATAAATGCTTCAATGTTAGCCGTAGTAGAAACCTCAATCATCGGAATATTGTGGTGATCGATATCCATCTGAACCACAATTGTCCAAAAACACACACATGAGATCTCATTATGCCCTGTGGTTGACAACGTGCTCTAAACAAGTTGAGCCCATAGAACATATACAAAATCGAGATTGACTCCTGAGTAAACGCCATACATGAGTGTGAGAATCAAATAACTAGTAGAATCTGATCTTGTTACCCTCTCAGAAAAGCTTTTGAAGATTAGGTTAAAATCACATTCCACCTAGGCAGAAGGTTTGGTTTCTTGAATTTTAACACGACAGCCAAACACTCCTTGTACCCTATTTGGAAAAACATCTCCAAAATAGCAGAGTTGGAGACGGATTCTGGATCGACTAGGTCACAGCCTAGAGGAATACCTAGTAGGCTAATGAATTGTGACTTAGTGATCTGGGTTTTCTTTGTATCGATTTCAAACTTGATCATCTCTTCCACTTGTTGGTAGCTTGCAGTCGAATATGCCTTGGACAGATGAACCAAGGGCACATTCTCAATTTTCGTCAAAGCAATAGCAAAGGGTGAATAATGCAGACACTCGATCAGAGGTTGAAGAAAGGGGTCATCCATGGTAGCTTATGTTGGATTAGGTGTCTAAGCCCATAACTATAATTTGTATGTACTTGACCCGATAGTAGCATGGTCCATTTTGGGTTGCATTCACCAGACTAATTTGATAGGATGGATAGTTGAGAAAGAGGTTATTTGTGATTTATTAATATATTATAAGTATAATATATTAATTGAGAAATCATATTATTTAATTAGTATTGATCAAGAATTAATTTGGAATTAATTTAGTGATTAAAAGAGACTAATTAAATTAATGAGGACTGATAATGTAAATCAGTGATATATATATATATATATATATATATATATATATATATATATATGGTTTGTACTAATGATCCATGATTGATTTGTGATGGACTAAGCTTATGAGATAGTACATGAAATGTTAGTCCAAATCAATTGTTGGATCATAAGCCTAAGTGTAAGAATTACGGTTTACAAGTGACTCTTGCAATTCTACACTATATATGTAATCTCTAAGCCTCTAAAATCGCTCCCAAGAGTATTCTAAGAGGATATAGCCGATTGTTGGTGCTCCAAGATCTCTCTTATTTTCATCCAATTGTTGGTGGTGTTTTGTGAAACATTTGACGCATCACACTTGAGGTGCTACGCTCTTGAAAGGCGAAATTCTACAAGCTACAACAAGAGGTAATCATCTAACAAGTTTTTATGATTCTAATATCAAATTTGTATGCTAGTTAGGATTCATGCTTTTGAAAAAGAATATTGCATGTATAACAAGAGAAAACTTAAATCTAAAGCATTAGGGTTATATGTGCACCATAGGGATGTTATAGTGCTCAAAGCCCATCAATTATATAGGAGCTTAGGCTATTTTTTGTTATATTGATGCATGGCTAATTATTCAGAGTTGAAGCAAAAATGAAAATTGTTTTCTGCCAGACAGAACTCGACGAGTCCCATGAGGAAATCGTTGAGTTCATGATGAACTCAACCAGTCCATTGCTTGAATCGACGAGTTGGATAGTCTGTTGATAGTTTTTTGGCCTGAATTGGATTAGGATCATTACCACAAACTATTTTGTATCATAAAATTTGTTTCTTTATATGGTATTGATTGTCCTCATCTATTAATAGATAATTGTCAAAATTTTAAGATAATTGTTAGTTTATATGATAAACTAATCATTTGTAATTTTTATTTGAAATTTTCTTGCTTTATGAGTTAAATTAGGTCAATTTGATAAATAATAAAGAATAAATTATATGTTAATTTTATTAGTTAAATTTGATCTAAATGTTTCTTGAAGAGTCTCATAACTTATCCTCAAGTAATGGAATATGATAAGTCTCATTCATGAAACATTAACACCTTAAGTGATGGAATTCAAAAGGTTTTGAAGAGTTTCAAAGCTTGCCCTTAAGTTTTGGAATTTGAAAAGTCTCATTTATGAACCATTAAAATTCTAAGCCCTAGAATTTAAAAGTTTGAAATTCAACCCTTATACTATTGTAATATTAAAAGTTTCATACTTTTATATATGTATAAGGTGAGTCAGTCTTACCATTAGTAGGCCTCATTCACGAAGCTGATCTATATGGGGGTATAAGGAAACTTCCTATAAAATAGTGGTTGAATGGGTGTCCACTCTCACCTACCGCTTCCTTGATTGGTGGAGGGTCGTTAGCCGAACGGGTAGGACAGGAAATTAATTCTCATTAAAAATTATAATGATAATTATAAAGTAACTAAATGTTTTATAAATTCCTAATCTTAGTTACTTCAGAAAAAATGTGAAAATAATGCTATTCCATGAAATTTCACTTTTCACCTTGCCAAGTCGTTAGTGGAGCGTGTGTGGTTAACCGGCACACTAACTTGGACTAACAAGGGTGGCAAATGGATGCTTGATGCTTGTCACAGATCAATGGAGTGTGTGTGGTTAATCGGCACATTGATTAGGTGATAAATAACATCGAGAATACCATTTATATTTGCATGGTTATTCACACCTTGTTTTTGATCCTCAGTATCCCCATCACAAACTTGAAGGGCATAATCGAGATTTAAACCTCCCATTAAAAAGTTCAATGAATCTCAAAAGAATCTTGGAATTTCAGTTCATTTAAAACCTAATACTCTTTTTTGTTTTTCATGGTGGAAATTGGTAAATCATCATTTACCTACCTTCAAATATTTTGCAATTGGATTACGGCATCCCTCTTTCGAATTGTGAAATATTGTGTTGGGTCCTAGCCTTAATATTTCATTTGGATGTTATTTTAATGATTCTTATCTAATCTAAACTTTGTCTTTCTTTTCAGATGTCTTCCAACACCACTTCTGGCTCAAACCCTTTTGGCTCTTTCTCCTTCATGAACTTGTGTGGGAGGGTCATTTTTGATGGATCGAATTTCAATGACTAGATTCAGAAGGTTTAAATGGTAAATTGTTACAAGGACAAGGAATATGTCATCGATAAAGAGCTTAAGGAGGTGGATGAAGCAACTGCTACTCCTGAAGAAGGTTGTAAATATAGGACTCATCAGAAGGACGCAACAAAGGTGTCATGTATCATGTTGGCCACTATGACAACTAAACTTCAAAATCGTATGATGACTATTACCCTTTTGAGATGCACCAGGACTTGATGGAAAGGTACCATCAAAGTGCTTGACAGGAAAGGTATGAAATCATTGGCTCCATGATAACAACAAAAATAAAGGATGAAGAGTCCATCACGGCCCACTTGCAAAAGATGCAAAGGTTTACGGAACGCTTGTTGAAGTTGAATGTCAACTTCGATGAAGAGTTTGCCATTAACATTATGCTAAACTCTTTGCCTCCTTGTTATGATCAATTTTGAATGACTTATCATATGAACAAGGAGGAGCTCACTCTAAGCAGGCGTCAAGGCCTACTACGAACTATTGAAAGTAGTTTGAAAGGAAAATCTATTGTTCCTACTCAAACTGTTGTTGCCTTAGTACTGGAAATTGGACATGTTCCTACATTATAAAAGACATGTCATAAAATACATGTCATGGAATACATGTTACAAAATGGGTGTCGTAAAATAACTGTCATGAATTTCCAAAAGTACAATTATTTTACGATACAAGAAAAAGGAGTCATAGTTCATATAAATTAGTTAATGCTCTTGTGAGACGCTCTCGTCATCGTACCTACCTAGCATACACCTTATGTCCTGCATTATAACCAGCATCTCTTGGAGGGAGAGCGAGACCGTTGTGTATGGATCTATACGGGATTGACAACCCTACACCTCTGTTGTTGGCTACAGTTAGACCGACAAGTCTAGGATGACAAAGGTCCTACCAGCTCCGACGTCTGAAGAATGTTGTATTCAGGTATACTAGTCATATTAACAAGGTTATAAAAACTCACATATGGATTAACATACTATCTCGGTTTACGGGAGGCTTATACTTCATTAGTTTTTCTAAAAGATATAACTACATACTATTGTTCAGTACAACAACCCTCATACACTTTTGGTCTTAGGGTTTCAGACTACAGTTTGCATACATCATAAACTATTGGATTTTGTGGGAATATGAATTTTACAATTATAAGGAAAGTATACATAGGAAATACATACATCTACAGTTCATACATAAGAAAACATTGGATTTTCTGGGAGCGTACATTTGACACTACCGTTTTCATACATTTTACATTTACAAGTAAAAGAAACAAAGGACACGCATACATATATTCTCAGTTTTTGGTATAAAAACAACAACTCATTTTTATAGAAAATATCGGATCTTCTGGAAATATACAAGCATTTACCAAATAACGATGTTACAAAACTTTTCATACAAATATGCTTATGAACTCACCAACATTCAATGTTGACGTTTTTCAAAATGACTTGTATTCTTAGGAAACCGGGAGACAGGTATTCAACCCTTATTGAGGGCCGACGTCATCGTTTCGTGATTTTTACTTTTCGGCTATTTGTATTAAACTTTTGAACAAGTAAAGTGTTGTAAACGATGTAAACTTGTATTATCAATGTATGAATGTTTGGGTTGCTCTGTTTCATTACTATTAAATTGTTATGATATTGTACATGACGTCATCCGCCCCCGGACGTTTCCTTCGTCTTGGTTCGGGGGTGTGACAGATTTGTATCAGATCATTGTTTATAGTGAAGTAGTATATCTAACCACACAAGATATACAACTATAAATATAATGGGGGCTAAAACACTCTGACTACAAATATACTTTTAAAAATATAATAATATTTTAAGTATAAGTACATACAAGTTAGGGTCGTGCGGGATATGTTGCGTATGTCATGGAAACCCGAGATAAGGGTAGGAAGACAGTCGATGACGTACCTGTGGTACGAGAGTATCCAGATGTGTTCCTAGAGGATTTTCCTGGGATACCTCCGGAAAGATAGGTTGAGTTCTGGGTTGACCTAGTCCTTGGTACGGCTTCGATAGGCATGGTACCATATCGGAAGGGTCCTCCAGAGATGTAGGAGTTGTCTACGCAGTTGCAGGAGCTGCTAGACAAGGGTTTTATCCGACCGAGCAATTCGCGATGGGGATCCCCGATCCTGTTTGTGAAGAAGAAGGACGGATCGCATCACGTGTATATAGATTACCGGGAGTTGAAGTGCTAGAGGATAATGGGTCGAGTACCTTCGTTTGATTACGATAGCCGAGGATTGTTGACCCTTCATGGGAGGGCCTGGGTACCGTACTGGGGCAGAGTATGGTAGGTGTTGATGGATGAGGCCTACAAGTCTCGATTCTTCATCCATCCGGGGGCGACAAAGATGTATAGAGATCTTCGACCCGATTACTGGTGGCCCTGCATGAAGCGGGACGTAGCTGGGTACGTGGAGAGATGCCTAACCTACAGGAAGGTCAAGGCAGATGTAACGCCCGGGTTTCGGGGCTAAGCAGTTTTAGACAATGTAATAGTCTAGGTCAATTGCTGTAACTCTTTCTAAAATAATAAAAATGATATATTTGAGTATTATGTGA